TCTTTGGCAAGCATCCGAAAAAACTCAACATCTGTCCAGGCACCCTGATTATGCTGGCTCTGGTGATTTGTCACTAAAAGTATACGATCAAAAAATTGAAACAATTAAACAAAGTAATATACTTTAATTTGTAATTTAAAATGAATCAGAAAGTAGAAAATTATAAATAAACATTAACCACAAATTACCTGGTTCTAACATCTCTAGTGTCTTCCAGAACTCGTGGATCATGTCGATACCAATCGCCATTTTAGAATCATGTGCTGTACGAAGCGTACATGCACAAGGAATTCCATGTGTGGTAGGCAATAAACAGCCGCAGCGCAAGTAAACTTCATAGCTCAAGTCTCGCATCCTTGTTAGCTCATCGTTCAATAAATTCAGAGAGTAATGCGAGACTCTCAATGTCAAGCACGCGAAAGCCAATCCCGTATATGCCGTACTCTGCCCAAGTCTCGAAGACTCAAGTGTTGTCCTGTTAATACATTACAAAACAATTTGTTATATATAACAAATTATAATATAATATACTTATATAATATAATATAACAAATTATAATATAATATACTATACTTATATAATATATACAATGATAATATAATATACTTATATAATATAATATAAATTACTTATATAATTATTTTGTTTTTTTATAAGTAATAAAATGACACATTTCGTTTTTCAGGAATGTACCTGATTTCAGTCAATTGTGACTCGATCTCCTTATCAATCTTATGCCACACTGTATCTAGCGCGCCAGTCGACGTGCGAAGCCACTGCTTCAACACAGAGTGGGCACTTTCCACCCTACAGGTAGTTGTGTTGCCAAAATGTGTTACTTGGTTCGTCCAGGCTTTCACAAACTTCACCTTGTGGCCTAGCCACGTCTGCTCGAGATATTGTACCACTTCTGAATCATTCCCGTATTTTGCATTCAATTGAGCTACGGCAGCGTCGTACTCATCCGACGTACTGGCATCCATAATCTACTTCCACCGACCGTGCAAGAACCTCTCAGATAAATTTTTATCTTTCCCAAACAAGTTGTACACTTTGTTTTCCACATCCTTGTTGATGTGCCACGTGCAGAGTAAGTGGGCATATTGGGGAAAATGCCTCCTAATAGGAGTCAATAAGCCCAACTCTCTGTCACTGACAACCGCATTAGGATGCACCTGAGCAGCATCAAAAATTAGTGAGACACGCAAAAAGAACCTCAAATTTTTTTACCATATTGCACAAAGTACGTTTATATACTAATTAAATTAATCATGTATTTCATATAAATTCTTACCGTATAGCCTATGAGAAGTCTCAACTTGTCGAGAACCCAATCATAACTGGCCTCTTTCTCGTCCTTCATGAGGGCATACGCAATTAGAAAGTTATTGTTTCACGACGTCATGCCAATCATCTCGACCAACGGCATCTTGTACCTATGAAAATGAGACCAAAAGAAATAAATTATAATCACATAAAATTTAATCCAAAATACAAATTTAAATTAATACTGATAACATGTCTGTAAATTTAAATACCTGTTGGTTTTGTACGTCGAATCTGTGCCGACAAACCAATAATAAGTCCGGAATAGACTCACTGAATCAGGATGGGCCATGAATATGTGTGTTAGCGCATTTGTATTCGGATCGACATTTGTATAAACTATATAGTTGCTGCTGCTTGCCAAATGTAGAAGTTGGGTAGGAACGTCCCTACCCTCAAAACTTTCCTTACGCAACCAGTCTCTATAGTTATATATATGTCGCCGATTAGCATGGTCGTGTGAATTTTTGTCCTGGACGGCGGCCAAAATATTTGCTGGTGTCACATGCGCAACAGTCATATCACGAATAATTTTTTTTGATGACTGGCTTATGCCGCTCGACTGTCGATGACCCTCAGGATACACAGCAAATGAATGATTATGATATCACTTCGTTTCGTCTTGACTCGTGTGGATCATCTAGTATGTCGATCTGGCAACACGCTTTACTTGTATCTCAAAAGGGCACTGACACGCTTTAGTTTTTGAATGTCTAGAAACAACTTTATTCATATCTACGTTTTTGCCTCTATAACGTTCGCCTCGATGACACTTCAAGATTTTCAGCCTTCCGGGTTTTTTATGTTTCGAAATAGTCAAAAAGAAACCATTCAGAATTGTCGTACTTTTTGCATCTTTAATAGCCTTCTCATCACTAATAAACAGCGTAGTTGTATTGAAAGCGGAACGGTAATCAATACCATCTCCTCCAAAATCTTCTAAAGACACCTGCAATGTACATATTTAATAATTTTAAAGCATTTAAAAATAATAAAAAAAAATATTATGTCCGGCCGGTCGGACCGGCCGAACCGGGTTCCAACCGGCCGTTGCGGCTGGACACCAAGTGGGTCGTACGATCGGTCCGTTAGTACAACCACCGGTACGTACGTCCACCATTACCGCACGACCAGGGGTGTGTTCGGTCGAACCGGCCGGACGCCTTTGAGAATGTCCGGTCCGGCCGGTCGGACACCGCCGTTGCCGTGCGGTAAAGCTGGCCGGACGGGT